GGCTGTTTTCTTTCAACCATGCAATCCAGTTGCTCTCCCTTAACCCTCCCGCCAAAATTCGAACTTAAACACGATACATAGAATATCCTATATATTCTTATGTTGGACCTCCAACATAAGGATCAACATGTTCCCCTGAATTTTTGGCCGGGAACTAAGGGATTAAACCAGAAATGGAGCTGGACGAGTGTGTTGAAACACTGAGTTTCTTGCAATCGACAGCTGAACTGGAGTACGCCTCTCGCTTTCACGTCATTGAGTCACGTCATTACCATGGAGCAGGCAATATTTTGCTCCGATTTGCAGCATTAGTGAGTCCGTTTGCATTCGACTCGTTCGAAATGAGTACGAACTTTTCAAGGGCGGAACTCTGGCTTATGAAGGAGGTTGGATTCAAGAAGGAATGATGCGGCTGATCTCAAGTACTACTTAAAGGGAGTATGCTGTGAACACATCGGTATGAGTGCTATTGTTGTCATTTGTAGTCTAGTATCATTACTGAGTGCTGACATTAATATCATTTGGATGCACCTACACTTGCTATTGCTTCTTCATGCGCATAATGCTTCTCCCGTGTCGCCACACGATATTCGTTCGATCCAACATGAAGAAGAAGAAGCTAATCCCCATCACTTACATTCATCCTCGTTGGTTGTTGCAGTCTGAAGCCAATCGACACAAAGAAGATGAATCTGATGAAGACGTCTCCTGCTGCATGTTCCGAGCTCAGGATTTGCACATGAGATCCTTAAAACACGCAGTACTAACTGACTCTACGAAGTGGCGAGCTGGTATGGATATTGCTGAACGCGTGGTGGAAGCAATGAGCTCACAAGGCACACGATCGTTCCTAGGAATGGCGGAGTCGTTGCGCAAATTTGCAGAGCATGCAAGTCAAGGTATCATACCTGCGGTCGGGATACCCGAACGTACCGAGATACAATCTAGTGGTAAAAATGAGACTACCGCGGGTGAAATAAATGCTGCTGAAGATTATGATGACATTTCTAGTAGCGATTCCGATGTGCCTCCTACACTCCTGACCAAGGCGAAGATCATAACAAAGGGAATCAACAACCAGATGAGACCGACGAAGATGAAGAGGAAAGTAACGACGCGGGGTCGGACGATAGCTCATCTGATGGAAGTAATGATGCAAACGGAGACGATCTTGGCCATGATACTTCCATTCTCAATTTGGACGGGAAATACGAAGGAGGTAGTCACATATCAGTGCAAAACAAACGCGAAGATCCAGTGAATCTTTTGCTGAGCGATGGTGCACAGCTGATAGCTGAAGCGGATCAAATTGTACGCCTAAGGCGTGAAATGGTGTCTTCAGATAGTGATAGCGAGGCAACATCAAAACTGCCATAAAATCCACGAAGAGGTCAACTAAAAATCCCTACTGCGACACTCGACCACGCCGCTCACGCAACAGGAGAGGGAGTCGTGAATATGACAACTCTGAACATGGAGGAACACGAAGAAAGCGTCGAAGAAATGGACCCCAATCAGTTGGTGACGACAACCAAACCATTGGTGACGAAAACTAAACCGTTGGTGACACCTACCAAACTATCGGTGACTCCCAAGGGCAAGCTAACAACTCGGAAACGTGGTTGCCAACAGGACGACCAGGATGGTGATGAGATTTTGTCATCTGACGAGGGAAACGACGCTTTGAAGTTGTGGAGAGTACAAGAAGCAAAGGCAGACCAAATATTCGGAAGAAACAACAAAGAGAAGCAAAACGAACTTGCATGGAGGATCCTGTTGAACGAGCCAAGGCCTTAATATAAGGAAGACTTGTCCCCCTGAAGGAACTGGCTTTGGTGCGCAAGACACTCAAATACAGCTTCAATGTCGGTGATGCGCTTCCAGTGATGAACTGGATTAAACCAGTTGGTGCTCCAACGTGGAAGTCGACTACGATTGTGCAGATAGCCAGGAAGAGGAAGGTAAATCGACAAGTCACGATTGTATTTCCGAAAAGTTACTTAGCGAAGTGTCTTGCTGGCATCAAGACGTACCGAAAATCGCTTCCTGACGAGCATGATGCTGGTAAAATGGGAGTAGCTATTACAAAGCTAGGTACGTTTGCTGAAAAGGATCTTGTCACGACGATGCAATGGCGAGACGAGACACCAAAGCTCGAGGCGATTAGTGATCTTGCGGCTTGGGTGAGACTGTCAAAATTCTCACGGATATCAATGCCCTCTCCGCTAAACAACTGCTTCAACATTGCTTGTGCAAAGCGCCTGTAGTCGGTGGATTTAAGAGACATCATGTCTACTCGATTTGGCAAGATTCCTGTGTACGAGATTGCTTCATTTAGGCGTGCAGTGTGGCTAGATGACTTCTGTATGATGTTGGCGATGCAATACTTGATCGAACAAAACAATATCGGCGGCGTGAATCCACTGTACGCGAGAATGTTCGATGACGACATGAAGCGCGACGTTATCGAGGCCACTTCACCGGTTTAAACAGGAAACAAAATTGAACTGCTACCTGTGTACTTAGACAAGCACTGGTCAGGCGTCGTGTTTGACTTTGACAGGAACAAGCTGGTATTCTTTAACCCCATGCAAACGCGAGCAAGCTATGGAGCAATGCAAGCAATCGTAAACGAGTATTTCGGCGAGCATATATCGGGGCTCGAAACAATACGGCAACGAGCCCCAAGGCAAGAAGGTACAAGCTTCTTTACAAACGGCTGCAAATGTAGAGATTCCAGAGTGTATCCACCCTGTTTAAGCCCGAAAACTATTATTTTAATTTTGGTACTTAAGGCGCTCGCCGGTGACTCGTTGGAAGGATAAATTGGTTGGGTGGGTAAAACCTACTCGATTGTGATCTCGTTGGTGACCGATTAACCTTTTATGAAATATCGTTGGTGTCTCTAACACGGCCCAAACATTATAGCATGAATCCACCACTTTCTCCATAGGCACGATTATTTTTTAGGTAAGTACGATTTTTCGTCGTCCAAGCCCTCCAAATCGATTTTTTTCATTTTTTAAACTCAATTAGGTGGCCTTATATTTCCAGACGTACTTAAGTGCGACCTGGCCCTATACTGTACAGCATTTGTATAGCCGGACAGGGTAGGTTTACATACTTACAGAAAAATGCACTGCCAAGATAAGACTCCTCATTATAATTATAAAAATCATGCAGCTGCATTACTCATTCCGGCTCAACATCATCCTCGCTGTATCTCTCAAACATGTCGTCGAAGTCACTAACAGTGTCTTCAACAGCGTTGAGGCGCTCCGACTCCTCCACAAATTCATTTACTGGCTCCACACTCGTCGGTTAATCTGTATCATCAGGATCAATACCAAGAAAGGCATATATTGCTTGCCCGAAGAGTCACCTAGAAACATACCGGAGAGGCGCTCTTTGTCCTGCCCCCACATCGCACCCAAACCATCTTGTTACCCTTTTCATTGATAGTGTGCTTCGGAAAATACCACTCTGGCCCACTTTAGAATCGACATTTAATTTTTTTATGGGCCACATTGCCATTTGATTGGCTAAAAATGTTGTAGAACTAGGTGCAAACTGAAGGCAGTAAATCCTCGCTGTATCTGCAGTAAGTACTTGGTTCAAATTCTCCACCAGTCACCAAAGTTCCCGCCAATAGTCAGCACAATGGCTCGCCAGCACGCCCAAAAATAAGATGGCAATCCTTTTTTATCTTTCCGGTAAGGCCGTAAACGGGGTGCTGCTCCATGGAGCCCGACTCGTGCCTTCTCGTGTCATCGTGAGACTATTTCAGCTGTTTGGGCCAAGAGAGACACCCCAGCGGCTCTACTCGCGCGGCCTCGCCGCCGCTCGAACTTCGAGTCGAAGAGGCTGCGGTATCCCGACATTGCTTCCAGAGTAGAAAAGGTGCTGCTTTCTCTGCGTCAGACGCAATGGAGTGTTTTCAACGCCGAAGGCGTACCCCGCACTACAATACAGCGATATCTAGGTAAGGCGGGTGAAAGTTCCATTAACGTCTCCTCACCCGAAAAAGCCGTCAACGTCCATTGCAGCCAGGATGGAGACACGCTTGCCACGACTGAATAAGATGGAAACCGTTCACTGCGTGTTCCTCACAGACCATCCGTAGCGCCGTAGAACAGATCTATAGAGAAGTTAGTTGCTACTAACCATTGTAGAACATTATTAGACAAAAGCACTTACCGTCCATCTTTAGAGGTTTCATCCACAAAAACTAGCTGATCAGGCCCGCTGTAAAAAGGTATTAACCGGGACACATGCTCCTGGCGCTCTTTAGGTACGCTTTCGCGCGCTTCGTCAGCACTTTCCTTGTCAGGCTTAGGTCGAAGCGTAGCGCTCGGCAGATAGTTGAGTCGGATAGATTTAGCGTGTTCTTGTAGACATATCTTAGTTCAACCCGCAGCTCTTCAAAACAAAAGCATGGGTGACTTGAAACGTATTGTTTTACGAAGTCGCAAACCTCCTTTGGCCACCGGTATGTTCTCGCGCGTGGCTGGTTTTTTAAAACGTTTCCAGTACGCGGAAGCGCCGATACCATCTACTCAGGCTTCGTACAGACAATCCTAAAACGCTAGCTACAGTAGCAGTGTCAACTGCGTAAATGTACATAAGGACAATGCCCCTCCACCTCATGTCTAGCGAGTAGTTCATCTTTAACTCCTTGATGGAGACGACTTTGCAGAATGGCAGGTCAAACGCTGGCCATTCGGAGTTTTTGAGTTGAGTGATAGTTGCGTAGGACTTTCAAAGGAGTCCACGGGTGCTCTGTGATTGGCTGTAACAGTCGATAACTTTTAGATGAAAAGCTCACAAATGCTAGATAAAACCTAGCCCTCCTTTTGAAGGAGACACATTTTGGATTAAAGGCACAATACATGTTCGAAATCCAATACAAGTTAATGACAATTTTGTCATTGCACTACCGGTAGGTATTGTGAGCTGAAAACATTTTTAATTAAATTTCTACTACTGTAGAACTCCAAAGTTTAGTCTTGCACAGTCTTTATCTTTCGTACTGCGATGGCTACCGCACCTGATACGATAACAAAAGCACCGACAATACTCCAGTGATTGATGTGCTCGCCCAGAATGATCGAGTCCCAAAGGAAGACAAACACCACTTGCAGGTAGCGCATGACAGCCGCAATTCCAGCTTTCTCGAGCTGGAAACCTCTTGTGAGCAGCATTTGGCCCCCGAAAGCGAAGATGCCCGTTCCGATGATGGCTCTCCAGAGTAGAAACGTCGAAGGAATAAGGAAGGACTGCAAGAACAAATGTCAGTTTCACGTCGGCCATTCGAACATTCGATAGACTCTCGTACCTGTTGAATCAGTGCCAGCCACAGCATCGTCAAAATGACGCTAGACAACGCGAAATAATGGACAATCACGAAGACGTTGAGCCCCTTTAGCTGACGCACGGTCAGAAAAACTCCAACTTGGCTCATCGCACCGAGGAGAGCCGAGCACACTCCAACCCAAGAGTTGACTTTTGTATCGATCGAGCCATCGTATCCAAACAGGAAACCAGGTCGCACGACACAAATCAGACCGCCAAATGAGCCAAAGGCGCACAAAAGACCCACAGGGTCGATCTTCTCGCCCAAAAAGAGCGCACTCTGTATACATCATTATTCAGACGTTAGCAGGCATTTATTAGAGCTTGTAGACCTCAGCGTACCATGAAGAAGGTCATAAGTGGTGAGGTGAGGATAAGAGCACTAGCGTCGGCCAGCACCATTTGTGACATTGCGTAGAAGGCAAAGCCCATGCAGATAAAGCCGACGAGACAGCGATACAGTAGCATCCGACGGTGTTGAGGCGGAACGTGTAGACTTGTTCCTGTAGCCTTTACTGTAATCTACACGAGCAAACCAGCACAGTCAGCTTCCAATATTCTCAGCGCATTCTCTCTGAACTGATCATACGTAATTGAGCACAAGGACGCCGATCGAGCGCCAGAACGTGGCCTCCATGGACGAAAATGAGAAGGTCATGTACTTGATGAACGTGACCATGAGGCTGAAGCAGAGAGACGCCAGTGCCACACATGTGATACCCAACAGAGCGTGATGGCTGGGCTCAGCTTCGATCTTGTCGATGGAGGCGGTGGTCGGTAGCAGTAGAGCTCCTTCGCTCTTGGGTTGACCAATACTCATCGAGAAACTGCTTCTGCTCTGCCGGTGATTTGTTACAATAGCGAATGATTCCACACTCAACGCATCGTGCAATACTCTATGACGACTTTAGGTGATTTGATTGGTAAGCGTCCGTATAAATTTAAAAAACTTTGAAGTAAATTTAATTACTTCGAGGTAAGCTTTAGAAAAACTTATTTAAAAACATTTTTAAATATATGCAAGCAAGAAATATTTTGCAGTAATTAGCTTGTAAATAGCTAAAAGATATTAAGACGAAGTACAAGCTAACGTTAGCATGATATTTGCTTTTTCGAATGTCTAAATTAAACATATAAATTTCCAACGCTTACAGTATAAATGACCACGCTTATATTTGCACACACTCGCAGCACAACTTCCTAGTAACATAGGGGAATTTCCCTGAAGTGCGAAGTTTATCGTCATGTGTGCTACCATGACCCCGTGCAAGCTATGGCCGTGCAAGTTCTATCCAATGCATGGTGGTTGCTGAGAACTACGAAAGGTGGTTGCGTGCAGTTTGGCTGCACACAACAATATTCGTCTAACTTCTTGCTTCGACCAAAGTCGTACTGATGCTGTTGTGGCTTGTGCTAATTCACAGTCAAACATCAGTTTACTTGGAATTCGCAAAAATGAAAGCAATGACATGCTAACCTGCCTTATTATCAACTGGTATTTTTGCATTTGGAGCGGAATCAAAGCTAAGAACACGCACAGAGACTTCAGCAGTGCCATAGGTACTGTTGCGGTCAAAACCAGGTGGAACTTCGGCTGCTTAGGACGAGACCTCCTTCAATGCCATGCGCTCCACCACCGAGCACTTCACATTAATTCACGGTGCAATTCGACTTCAACTTCAGCTTGCGTGGTCCACACACACTTCATGTTTTGCCAATCAAATCAGGGTTCCAACTAGAGACCTGCGGACTTGGCAACGGACCGCGGGCCGATGAGTGTGGGAGAAAACTCGAACGAAGCAGCGCCATTGCTGCCCACCACGTCCGCCAACTCTACACCCGCCAAAGTTGATGGAGAGCGCACTCCTCATGCTCTTTTGGGCATGACGTGCGTCGCGTTGGCGTCACTGTGCTTCAGCTTCATGTCCACATTCATCAAGTACATGACCTTTACCTTCTCGTCCATGGAGGCCACATTCTGGCGCTCACTCGGCGTGCTCGTGTGCAACTTCGTACGCTATTGCTGCTCTATGTAATGGTTGAAAAGGAGCTTAAAAAACTAACAGTTTCTAATACCCCCTCTTAGATCGTCGTCAAGGTGTTGCGTATCAGCCTGTACGTCGAGCCGGAATTTCGCAAGATACTCGTCTATCGCTGTATTGCTGGCTTCGCTTGCATGGGCGTCGCCTTTTACGCAATGTCGCAAATGGTGCTGGCCGACGCCAGCTCCTTGGTCTTCGTTAGCCCCGTACTCACCTTCTTCATGGTGCGTTGAGCGCTTAAAACACGCGTGAATCTGTGCGTACTAGTATTTAATACTTATGATCCTACAGGGTGCGCTGTTCCTCAATGAGAAAATCGACCCGATTAGTCTGATTAGCGCCGTCACCGCATTTATCGGCCTCATCTGTGTTGTACGTCCGGGATTCCTGTTCGGATACGACCATCCCACAGCGTCTACGGATGGCTCCTGGGTAGCCATTTGCTCGGCATTACTGGGGGCATTCAGTCAAGTGTTCGTGTTCCTGACGATGCGTCAGCTCAAGGGTGTAAACGTGTTCGTGATTGTGCACTATTTCGCATTGGTGAGTGTCATTTTGACGATGTTGTGGCTGGCACTAGTTCAGCAGGTAGGTCTCTGTTCAAAACAGTGTTGGCAGTCAGTTTCCAGTAACTTGTGCTGCACTTTACGCAGTCCTTCTACATCCCCGAAACGTTCCTGCTCTGGAGAGCGATCATCGGCACCGGCATCGCTACGTTCGGCGGGCAAATGTTTCTCACACGAGGCTTCCAATTGGAAAAAGCAGGCGTTGCAGCGGTCATGCGCTACTTGGACGTCGTCTTCGTCTTCCTCTGGGACTCGCTGATTCTAGGCGAGCACATTAACCACTGGAGCATTGTCGGTGCGCTGGTGATTCTCACTTGTGCAGTTATCATTGCGGTGCGGAAGATTCAATTGACCATGCACGAGTAAGCCACACCAAGAGTCTGAGATCGGGCAAACTTTGCAGCTTTAAACGACTATTATTACATTATAACTAAGGCGAAGATGACGGACTCTTGAGTAGTTCCTCCATGCTCTTGCGTCGTCGCATGGATTTCGCCATGGGCATCGATTTAAATTCCGATAATGTTCGTGGAGGTGACGGGCTGTGGTTCTCCGATTCAGCCTCTCCCGTAGTGGGGACATTTTTCAATGCAAATTTGATCCTAGTCGAAGGGTGTTGCTGACGTTTCAAAGGAGACGGCGAGACTGTGGACGATTTTTCACTAGGAGCGAAGAATTTCTCGACATCGATACGACGATGAATCACAGTGGGAAACCCGCGTCGGGTACGAAGGAAACCAGCGTCAGTCACTAACACACCGAAGGCGTAGTAGACGTGTGGTGGCATGTATGCAAGACCGTCATCCTCCACCACGTCGATATCGAAGTGACAACGCACCAAACTATTCGCTCGTGCCGGCGTCCGCAGCAACTCTTCCAACGGTAATCGACTGTAGTTCTTGACATGTCCACGAGATATCAAAGGCGCCTTCGAGGTGCGATGATCCGTGGAGGGGCAGGTCAAGTGCTCGTCGATATTGTCAAAATCTACCACTGCAACTGCGTTCGCAGCGTCACTCTCTTGACGAGCCTGTAGCCGACGATAGTAGACATATTTCGCTACAAGCACCACCACAAGTAGCGCTAGACTCTGGGTGACTACAACAGCCAATGGAGCAAAAAGTGCATGCACAATTTGAGGCGGAGTGGTGGCAAACCCGTCAACTTCAGGGTTATACGCGTTCCAGAGTGCGGTGTGGCCTGGGAAAGATTCATTATCGAGTCCTTGTTGGCCTTCAAGCTGTCGTCTGCGCATAGCAACATCAAAAAGTGTATCCATTTTCAGGAAGACAACAAACGCTGAAGCTGCGAGTATCTCCAATGAAGTCACGAAAGTGCCTTTGACGACGCTATATGCTCGAGCCTCACGCATTCGTACGAACACACTCCATAGTAGATTCAACAAACAGAGTACTAGCATCCACACCCGCACAGCAGACACAAGTGCGTACACTTGTCCTTTCGACGCTCTGCACCACATCAGTGCGAACGGAAGGTTTACAAGCCACGAGATTAAAGCGGATGCCATCGTTAGTCCTGCTATTGGGCCGCTGCGATACAATGAACGATACAGCAGCAGCCACCTCGAGTCACTAAAGTTATCGCTCTCATCGTTGCCACTATCATTAAATCCAACCAATTTCTTCCAACCGAACATTCGAACAGTGTCGAATATGGCGCGTACATGCACAAGGAGCAGCGTCATGTCCACAAAGACCAAAACGACGTAGAGATGTCCAAACGTAGCGAAGTTCGTTTTGTTCTCCTCCATCACAACAATATCGTCATCTTTCTCCTTTAGGACGAACTGCGATCGGGAATTTTGTCGCGTTAAAAGCTCCAGCCCCATAATATCCACCTTGTCCACGGCCAATTGCGCCAAATCGGCGTGCAACTCGGCAAAACTTGACGCGAACACACCAATAAATGCACTTTCAAACACGTTGGGGCTGCCACAAACGAATACGTCGGCATCGTAATGTCCTGGTCCTGCAGTGGCTTCAAACCCTTGCGCACATATCACATTGGACAGCGGATGACTGCGACTTAGGAGATGTAGCATTCTTAACAGCTCTGCTTCTGCTACCGAGTTGATAGGAGCCATTTTATCCGGATGAACTTCGTCTTCAGCCAATCGATATCGCTGAGCGAATAGCGTGACGACGTTATCTTGACAGAGTGGTGGTCGTCGGTGGAAGAACAGAAGCTGACAGCTTACCCACGCTACCGAATCCACACTCAAAGTAGCGGAGAGAATGAGCTCGAGTGCAACGTGGCGCTCGGCCGAAAAATGTGGTCTGAGTTCGCAGTCCGTGGCTTTGATCACGTCGAACGCTTCGCTGTCTTTGGTTGCGTACAAGTCGCGGCATCGTTCGTAGAGAGATGTCCAGCCAGATCCTCGAAGTAGTTCTGTACCCAATTCAGTTGTTGGTAGTGACTTATTTGTATTTAGAAAGGCAGGTCTTGGAAGGGGATCATACTCGAAACCGTGCTCATAAACAATATCGAACGAGAACGATTCTGACGATCCGATCCAAGCAAGTTTTGCATGAAGATCCAAGAGATCGAGACCGTAGAGAGTGAGTAGCGCAGCGACGCGAGCAAATGCAGGCAAATTCATCGCTTAGCCTTTTTTGGTTTAGCGTCGCTTCAAACAGGCGTCCTTCTGGACGGGAAGATAATTCGAGGATTCAACCGATGCATACCCGCTTCGCCTCGGACCACGGCTATTATAAAATAAGGCACATTCAGGCAAATAATCTGTCACGGTCTTCGGCTAGAGGAAGGACTCGCTATTCTGGACGACTGTCTACGGCAATTTAGCGAGCGGCGTAAGAAGAGTGTCAGGCTCGTTCCCCGTCGCCGATTACCTCGTCCCTAGTGTAACGGGGTACGTGGCCCTAAGTGTACCCTGGTTACATGAAGTGTGACACCCCACACTTCAGGAGTATGACACGTCATACTCCGAGATATTTGGTACAAGGTACCAAGGTCGCTCAAAGCCAACCATTGGTTAAATGACATTGCATTTCTATAGGTAACTAACAGTTTGTATTAAACCCAAACTTAACCTACCTATAAATATACTCAGTTTACAATCTACCTTATTTAGGTCACTTCGCTCTCTTTAATAAAAGAGGGGACCTGTGAACTGCCGTTCACTGAGAGTTTGTATACTCTCGGAAGATAACTTCCTCTTGCGCAAGGTGCTGTGTGACCCCGTCACACTTGGTAGCACTTGTAGTCAATCCACGCCATCGCGGGTGGACTACCTGAACCTCCGAAGTTCGTTGCCATGGATAGGAACGACTTCTCCCATTTGAACGACTCTCAGTTCGAGTCGGTTCGGAAGATGGCAGGCATCTTCGGGATGGAGGCCCTGCAGAGCCTGATGGTGTCAACACCGGCTGAGCAGCTCGAGCGCGTCAATGCATTCGACGCGTACGAGCAGGGCCTCATCGCGCATGTGCGGGAGAACCTGCAGGCTCCGGCGGCGGAAGCAAATCCGCCTCACCCGAAGCCAATACGGCTGAAGGTAAAGCCGTAGGAAGGGAAGGAAGGCGAGAACCTTCACTTCTGGGTCCGAGAAGTAGAGCTCGCGATGGACGCGGCTCTGATCTCGACCGAGCAACTGCGTGTTGCTTTTGCACTCTCCAACCTTAGCGGTCGTGCTAAGAGTTGGGTGTACACTCGGGAAGCAACATCCCCTGGATGTTTCACATCCTGGGCTCAGCTGTGCGAACAGCTCCGAGCCGCGTTCCTCCCGGCGAACTACGAGTACCGCCAGCGTTCGCGCTTCCTCGCGTGTAAACAAGGAAGGCGCGAACTGCACGAGTATGTGCAAGAGATACGGGAGCTCACGGCGTCCCTAGTGGGAAACCCACTCAATGAACACATCAAGATGACTGTGTTCATGGACGGCCTTCGAGTGAGCCCCCCACGCACTCAGCTGTTCCGGGTGCAGGCAAGCACCCTTGAAGAGGCGATTCAAGTGGCTCTTCAAGAAGAGTACAGCCATCGCCAGGCGCGTACGCCGGCCTCAGCGTGGCCTGGGAGCTCCTTGTCGGCTCCCGGTCGGACAAGCTCCAACGGACCAGTTCCCACGGAACTCGGGTCCGCCGAACAGCGTGACATCCGCTGCTTCGGCTGTGAAAAGATGGGCCATTTCAAGCGCGACTGTCCCGCGGAAAGACTCCGTAGACTGTCCTTCCCCAAGCCCGTCCTCAAGGGTCGCTGGCAGAAGCCAGGATCCCGGGGACAGGGGAACGCAGGGAACCAGTAGGGGCGGGGCGCCCTACTGGGGAAGAACTAAGTCTTCGTGATGGGTGCGCGGGTGGCGCGTACCACGGGGACTTAGCCCCTGAGAGTCTTCGCACTCTCGAATCGGCGAAGAGCAGCGGCGGGTTGCTCGTAGTACACGGATGTGTACGGGGATACGATCATCCCTTTAGAATCCTGATTGACTCTGGGGCGTCGAAGAATTTCGCACGCCGCCAGACGGTTGCTCGTAACAGCAACAAGTTGTCCGAAGCTTTGAGAGAAAGCAAGGGCAACGGGACGGTGTCAGTGCGACTGGCCGACGGGAAGGTCGTCACTGTCCCCAACGTCCAAGTGGATCTGGCTGTCAAGTTTGAAGACTTTGACAGCCTCGAACAGTTCACTGTTCTCGATATGGATCCATATGATATGATCCTGGGCATGCCCTGGCTTGAGAAGCACGAGCCCTGGATCGACTGGCGAGGCAAGGCAATCGGTGCCAGCCGCCCTGCGCAGTCCGACAGAGCATTGGTGAGTCATGTTCCCACCTCTGTCAGGACCCGGGGCGCCCGCGAGGGCTGCCAGGGTACCAAAGCATCCGGCAGATGCTTGGGAGTCGTCGACGTATATGACGACTCCAAGGATGTTTTGATGTTGGCCGCGCCCATAAGAGGCGTCGGCCAAGTGGGTAACTTAGGTCCACAGGCGGAAAACTTAGTTCCGCAGACAGCTGCAGCTGTCATGAACACTGAGAACAGCGTGTTCAGAGTGGGTAACATAGTTCCACTCACGGTCGCCCAGACCTTAACTGAAGAGGAAGACGTCGGATACGCTTCCTGTGTGGGTAACACAGTGCCACACGCGGTCGCTCAGACCTTAACTGAAGAGGAAGGCGTTGAACACGCTTCCTGTGTGGGTAACACAGTGCCACACGCAGTCGCCCAGACCTTAACTGAAGAGGAAGGCGTTGAACACGCTTCCTGTGTGGGTACAACAGTATCACACAAGGCCACGAGTGCCTCGGATGTCGTAGCGACGACATCCCTAGACGTGGGCAGCAAAGCTCCCCGTCACAGACGCCGTCGGCAAAGACACCACCGCCGCCTCAAGTCGGATCCGAACTTCGTTCCGATCGACGTCGCTTCAAGCGACTCGGAGTCCAGGGCCCGGGCTCCTCCGACAAGGCCGGTGGAAGAGTGTTATCACATCTTCGATGGCGAGACAGGTTTACCCGTCAAGGCATCTGGTGTCCACTTGGAACCGTTGCCAGAGGTTGCGGAGATACTGAACCTCGAGGAAATGACGGCTGAGTCTTTCCTGGCCAACCTCAAGGCTGGAGAGATTGCTGAGATGGTACTCATGAGACCTGAGACCACTCGGGAGGAGCTGAACTCCTCCTCTGTCTTGGACGAGAACGTCCTGGAAGACCTGAACAAGCAGCGTCAGGCGCGCTTGGGTTCTGAGGTTCTCAAGAACCCCAAGGATCCGGTATATATATTTTGGTGACGGAGTATGCGGACGTGGTGAACAAACACCCACCGACCCAACTCCCACCGGATCGAGGCGTACGGCACGAGACTGATCTCGTGCCCGGCACAAAGTATTGTGTCACGAGGCAATGGCCTCTCCCGCGCGAGCAGTGCGAGGTCATTGATGCCTTCTTCGCCGCGAAAGCGAAGGCAGGCATGGTGCGGGAATCGAAATCCCCGCACTCGACGCCGACTTTCTGCGTTCGGAAGCCGAACGGAAAGTGGCGTCTGGTTCACGCTTATAACAAGCTGAACAACGCAACGGTGCCGGCCCAAACACCGATCCCACGAAAGGATGTGTTGTTGAACAACATGGCCGGGAGCGTACTGTACAGTGCGCTGGATTTGGTAGACGGATACTACCAAATTTTGATGCGAGAGAGTGACATCCCGCTCACCGCGGTAAGCACTCCAAGCGGCATGCTTTGGGAGTGGCTCGTCATGCCGCAGGGCTTGTCTAACGCCCCGGCGACGTTCAATCGCCTGGTGACGCAATTGTTCCGCCCTTTGCGTACCTTCGTACAGACGTACTTCGACGACATATTCGTCCATAGCCGTGCCGAGGGAGGCAAGACGGCCATGGAGGTGCATCTAGGACACCTCCGTCGAGTGTTGGACGTGATGCGAGCGAACAAGCTCTACGCCAACATCGACAAGTGCGTTTTCGCGTCACCAGAGATTAAAGTTCTCGGTTGCTTCGTCAGCAACGTGGGCGTTCGGGCTGACCCAGACAAGGTCAAGGCCATAGCAGCATGGCCGACGCCCCGATCCCAGAAGGATCTTCGAAAGTGGTTGGGCTTGGCCCACTACCTTCACAAGTACAGCGCTGGGTACGCGAGCTTCGCTAAGCCCTTGTCGAGCCTCCTTCAGAAGGACGTCGAATGGCGCTGGGAACAAGAGCACCAGGATGCATCAAGGCCAGTCTCCAAGAGGCCCCTGTCCTGGCTCTGCCGGACGAGACGAAGCCGTTTAGCATCGTCTGCGATGCCTCCGATTACGCCATCGGGTGTGCATTGCTGCAGGACGACACGGCTGGACAGGAACGAGTCATCTCGTTCCAGTCCCGGCAGCTCAAAGCCGCCGAGCGGAACTACCCTGTCCATGACAAGGAGCTCCTGGCAATGAAATATGCCCTTGTGAAGTTCCGTGTTCACCTTCTGGGCTCTAGGCCCTTTGTGATCTACACAGACCACGCGTCCTTGAGGACGGCGACTAACTCGCCTCACCTCTCCCAAAGGATGGCGAGGTGGCTGTCCTTCTTCGCGGAATACAACTTCCGCGTCGAATACAAGCCGGGCAAGCTCAACGTGCTTGCGGACGCCCTCTCTCGGCGTCCCGACTATGAGTTGGCCCACATCACGCGGGTGACAACGGATCTATATGATCGGATACGCATGGCGTATCGGGACGATGAGGCTGTCGCGCCTATCGTCAAGTTCCTTAAGGCCGGAACGAGCGCGAAGTCCGACTGGCTCTCGTCGCGACAGCGCTCACGGCTCCACCGATATGAGTTGAAGGAGGGCCTCCTCTATTATCGGGTGGAGCCCACTGATCCTTCACGTGTGGTTGTACCCAACGACGAGGATCTAAAGTTCGACATCCTCGCGGAGGCGCATGACGCGCCCTCCAGCGGCCACTTGGGCCGCGAGAAGACCTTTCTGTCGGTCTCTCAGTCCTTCTGGTGGACCCACACGTACAAGTGGGTCGCCCGGTACGTCAAGACATGTGAAACATGTCAGCGGGTCAAACCCGCAGGGCACTCTTCGGCTCCACTCCAGAGCCTGCCCGTACCGGCTGATTGTTGGAAGTCGATGAGTCTTGACTTCATCTTTGG